TTTCCGGTTCAAATAGCTCCAAAGGTGCGGTCTTAATATTCCCCCTCTTACGTAAAGCACATTCCCTACAGCTATCTACATAATTCGTGATGTCCTTCTGCATTCCAGGCCAAAAATACCGTGTCTGGATGACCCCTTGAGTTTTAGCTGTTCCCATATGCCCGCTAAAGGTGTATCATGATGTTGATACAATACTTTGAAAACCATTGACTTTGGCACCACCAACTTACATCCGTCACCCTGCTGAACATACAGCAGTTGGTCCCGATCTAAGAAAAATTTTTACTCCCCTGACTTACCCAATCCATTAAATTTTGACTTACAAAATTCATCATTATGCTGTTCTCGTAATATCAGCTCCCTTGACCAGACAGGTCTCAGGACTTCCTCCTCGCCAACATAGTTTACCCTCGACAAGGCATCCGCCTGTACATTCTGCACCCCCTTACGGTGCACTACGTCATAACTGTATTCAGACAACGTTAGGGCCCACCGAATCAACCTTGAGTTAGGATCTCGTAACGAAAAAATCCATTTAAGAGCCGCACAGTCCGTTATTATAGTAAATCTGGTGTTCAACAGGTACGGCCGCCATTCTTTTACTAAGGTCACGACAGCCAGGAGCTCCCGTTCAGTGGCCGAATAACGTTGTTGCGCGTCCGACAGAACTTTACTGAAATAAGCTATGGGTTTCTCCTCCCCCTCAATTTCCTGCGCGAGCACCCCACCAATGGCCACGAGACTCGCGTCTGAGATAACAATAAATTGCTTATCAAACTGCGGATATGCTAGTATAGGTTCGCACAGTAATGAGTCTCTTAGCGCCTCAAACGCCCTCTGTTGTTCCTGACCCCAAACAAAAGCTGTATCTTTCCGTGTCAAGCTCGTTAACGGCCGCGCCAATTCACTGAACCGTGGGATGAATTTCCTATAAAAATTTACAAGTCCAACAAAGCTTCGCAACTGTTTAAGATTACTAGGTACCGGGTAGTTAGTGATTGCTAAAGTTTTACGCTCGTCTGGCCTCACGCCATCTTTTGATACAATATGACCCAAGTACTCTATACTGTCCCGTGCAAACATACATTTAGTAGGCTGCAACACAAAGCCTGCTTCTTGTAGCTTAAGGAAAACATCCCCTAACCGCTCAGCGTGCTCTTTCATATTACGTGACGCTATTACAATATCATCCAGATAAACCAACACTCCCGCGGACTTAAGTCCCTTAAGGACATTATCCATTACTCTCTGAAACGTTAATGGAGCTGAGCATAACCCAAACGGCATCTTTTTAAATTCATATAAACAATCTGATGTAGCAAATGCGGTTTTATGTCGGTCCTCTGGTGCAACTGGAATTTGGAAATAACCCGAGTAAAGATCTAAATTACTGTAAATGCTAGTACCCCCCAGGGAATCCAATGTTTCTGTTAGCAAAGGTAGCACGTAGTACTCCTTTTTAGTTACATGGTTAACTTTTCTAAAATCAATAGCAAGTCGCCACTGAGGCTTCCAATCTGGTCCCGCATCAACCGGTTTCCGTTTCTGACACATAACAATAGGTGACGCCCAATTCGAGGTTGATGGCTGTATTATGTCCCTATTCAACATGTCGCTGATATGTTCCTGCACAACCCCTTTCAATGACTCAGGCAACCTATAGGGTGCAGAGCGTACCGGAAGTGCGTCCCCCGTGGGAATTTTATGCTCAATAAGGGTCGTACACCCCAGTGGTCCCGTACCGTCATAAAATAACGATCGAAACTTCCATAGTACTGGAAATATTATATCCCTGTCACTACTCTGAAGGTGTGCTAATTTAGAATCAATTAACTGTTTAAGATTTGCCAATTTCTGGCCACCCTGCCCTTTAAAAACTTCCCCCCATACTCCTTCATCCTCCTCCAGCTCGGCTTGCCTAAATCTTTCGACCAGATCTACCATCTCACTTCCATCCCTAATCAACCCTACATGACTAACACCACCTCGTGTTCCGCCACCTTCGGTCCCTGACCGGATACTTTGCCTCTCCCAGGCTGCATGACTGACACCTCCTCGTGTTCCGCCACCTTCGGTCCCTGACCGGATACTTTGCCTCTCCCAGGCTGCATGACTGACACCTCCTCGTGTTCCGCCACCTTCGGTCCCTGACCGGATACTTTGCCTCTCCCAGGCTGCATGACTAACACCTCCTCGTGTTCCGCCATCTTCGGTCCCTGACCGGATACCTTGCCTCTCACAGGCTTCACTACACATGGGCCTCTCACCCGCAACACTTGCCGTACTCCGGCTAAAAACATGCCTCTCCCAGGCTTCACTACAAATGGGCCTCTCACCCGCAACACTTGCCGTACTCCGGCTACCAACATGCCTCTCCCAGGCTTCACTACACATGGGCCTCTCACCCGCAACACTTGCCGTACTCCGGCTACCAACATGCCTCTCCCAGGCTTCACTACACATGGGCCTCTCACCCGCAACACTTGCCGTACTCCGGCTACCAACATGCCTCTCACAGGCGTCACTATCCAACCTCTGGACCTCATGACTGAACTCGCTCAGGTCGGAACGGAAGGGCTTGGGCCCAGCACACTCACCGCCAACCTGAACAACGGTACCGACCAGGACCCCAGGCCTGGATTTCACAATTGCCACCTCGGCCAAACCAAACGCATATCCTTTATCCCAAGTCACATCACTATCACCAATATTCAATACTCGACACTGAACCAACCACTGACATTTCTCTTCACACCGCTCCTCGAAGACCTTACTCACAACACGTGCAATACAAACATCTCTATCCTTTCCAAACTCATTTCCATCCTCCACATAAACCAATTTAGGGCACCCCAGCTTCCTATTACCACTCTCCAATTTCAACTCTGCCGCCAACAAGTACTCACTATTCGCCTTTAAAACCACCGGCCTAAGGGTGACCACCCTCCAGACTCTCTCTTCCTTGGAGCAGGAACTCAACGCCTGAGTGACTTCCATCTCCTCCACGCCATGAGGCCCCTGCTCCTCACACCCCCCTTGTGGGTTAGCTACTCCCCCAAGGGTGGCGTTACTGGAGGGGGCGGTACCGGCATCCCGCACCCCCGTCATCTGGAGAGCGGCCAGCCTTATCTCATCAATCGACAGATCTATCACCACTCCTAATTTTCTCAACGAATCTAGCCCCAAAATTCCATGATATGGTAGATCTAGGTCACACAAATGAAATTCCAAATTAAATATCTCCCCTGCAATATCTACATCAAAATTAGTTACCCCTTTAATATTCAATCTATCTCCTGTAACACCCATCGCTGCTACAGTAGACTTTCTCACATTACAGTTCTCCACTTCACCCTTAAATAACGAAATAAGTGCCCCGGTATCGACTAAAAATGTAAATAACCTCCCCTCAATTGACCCCACTAATGTAAGGTCCACACCTGTTGTTACCCTGATACCAGGAACTACTTCATCTCGCGCGGCAGACGGTCCAACAGTCGGGTTACTTATTGATTTCCTGTCGGACCCCTGAAGTTTAAAGGCCCATTTCGACGGGGTGAATCACTCCTTACCACTCCTACCTTCCCTTGATCCACCCTACAGTCCCTTGCATAGTGACCCCTACGTTCACACCTGTAGCAAACAACCCCTGACATCACCGCCGCATTCCTTTGGGCGTCCGACAGGTTGAATCTCACCCTCCTATTGTTATCCACCCCTCGACTGGCAGGGCTAGGCTCCCGACTACTTGAACCCCTATCAAAACTACCGCTTCTATTGTTCATTCGGCCCGTGCCGTCACGGCGCCGATCAATACTCCGATTATCTCCTGCCCCCACACCTGACACCAATGTTGGATGTCGCTTAGTTAGCCAGAAGGGCTACAAGCAACTGGGAGCTTGGAACAATAACTACACTGGAGGAGTATGCTAAGAACATTATTTATTTATGACAGCAGTAGTTTATGACATTACAAACAAGATAGAGTATAATATAGATAGATAATTACAATGAATGACTAGGGGACTCTAACATAGTTAATACTGAAACGGAGATGTTATAATGAGAGAGAGAGAGAGCTACCACGAGATAATGAGAGACTCACCTAGGACGGCAGCATGTCACCGATGCGATGTACGAGTGGAATGACAACCACCGGGCTAGGAGCCCCTTTTATATAAACCGCGAGTAGCGTCAGTGGCCATCCCCCAACCGCAAGCCACATTGGGCCTATGAATAGATCAATTGGAAACCACGATGATTCAAAGGAAAGTTATAGAGAATAATACAATGTTTCATACCGGACCGTTAGACTATTGTAGTAAGGGTAGTTACCCTAGTCTGAATGGGGGAGGCTTAGTGAATGGCGTAGGGACTACAATGACAAGGGGGAGGTGCTTTACAATTGTGCCCGAAGGGTGAACCCCAACGGGAGGTTATGAATGGACTGGGGTCCATATTAGGGTTGTCGTGACCTACCCCAACTAGGGTAGGCAGATGTCAGCCTACTAGTGAATGCCCTAGGTCGCGTGCACCCTTCCCTCTGTCGTCACGGTTACAATAATCTTTATTTAGGAATTTACGTTAGTGAATAGATATTGTGATTATCGTAGCATCTGTGAAGCAGATGTTCTAACGGCTTCTAGTGATTAACATTTGTTGGGATTTCAATGCCAACATGCTAATATTCCCTCTTTGGGAAATTCGCTAAAGAAGTACATCCAAATTGTAAAATCTACCCTTAAATAAGAGTGAAACATTAAGTTGACGACAGTGCACTCAAACGTCACCAACCTAAAACACTTGCTCTATTTTCCCCTATATCGAGTGATCTGTTTAATCTTTGCTCAATAGTTACATTTGATATTTTTCCCTTTGTACTGTATTATGTAGTTGGCTAGTACTGTGGGTGTCTTGTTATAAACACATGTTACAAGTATTTTGTATATTATAAGTATATTACAGACAGACAAACAGAAATAGCTCATATTGGATTACAGGATTTTGGATGATAAATAACTCTTAAGCAGCTGTTTGGAAATTAATCCAAGATGACAACTAGCCTCCAAGGACTCTTTAGTGGCTCCAATCATTTGTGTGCAAAATCTTGTTATCACTTGAAATTACCTATTCTAGGTGGCCTTTTTCTGTTCAACAAATTAAATAAAGCGTTTTTATAATGACTTTTCTCAGTGTCTTAGGTGTCATTTTACCAGCTTTATAGATTTATACAAAATTGTCTTTGCTTATTGTAGAGGTTCAATAAAATTTAGTATTATGTAATTAACTGTCACTACTTTTTTCTTATCCTAACCAGTTCCTTAAACTCAAATACTTAAAACAATAGAAAATAATCTTAACTATAGTTATTTGTGCAACTAGTGAGCAAAGTGAGCAATTGACTCACTCGAGAGAAATACTTACTCACGAGCCGTAGGCGAGTAAGAAATGGTTTCTCGAGTGAGGCAATTGCACTTTGCACTTGAGTTGCACATTATATTTTTCCTACAGTTACGATAAAACAAATAAATTTGTAAAGAAACGTAACATATTTTTACACAGAAGTGAACTTTTAATATGGCATTTATTGATACAACAGTACAACAGCTGACCAGCTAACTTACAGCCAGTGCTGCCAACATATTTCGCGCGCATGCGACCTTGTCTGCATGTTACGCGCTCACTATTTCGTGCCTTCAAGTTGCAAATCTGGAGTGAGACAAAGTAATTAGAGTGAGACAATGCTAACATTGTCTCACTGATGAGCGAATTGACCACTTTGCTTTCTCAAATCAGTGAAAGAACATATACATTGTTAGGTAACTGTAGGAAAAATTATATTTCTTACAGTCACCTTAAAGATGTGGGCTTCCTTGCACTGATTATAGTACAGAAAGTAGCCAATTGCTGCATTTACTTACTTTTGCCGCTGCATTAACTTACTCTTTTTTTTGCCGCACTCCAGTATTCCAACAAAACAACACCAGTGTGCTTTTATTAGGCACGTAATCCGTGTATGCTTTTGTAGGTTGGCAACACTTAAAGATACTAGACTACTATCAGCTGGTCCAGCGTTTCCCATTTCCTTCAACACTTGGCTTTAACCTAACCTAAAAAAGTGTTGTTTAGTGTTTGAATGATTAATTTTTTATATGCTTTACTGTATAGTAACTGTAGGAAAAATATAATCTGTAACTCGAGTGCAAAGTGCCTTTGCTGCACTCAAGAAACTTTCCACACTCGCCTTCAGCTCGTGTGTTAACATTTCTCTTGTGTGCAGCAAAATGCCACTTCACACACTAGTTACACAAATAACTATTCCTCAAAATGTGTTAAGTTTTTTTATCATTGAAATTGTTTTAGGTTATTTTTTGATTTATGGTAATTGTACTTCAACACAATATATCCATTTTCAATCTGTTTCTTCCTCATTCATACATACCATACCAATCCATTCATGTGTGCAATCCTAATTTTACTCACTAATGCTGTAACTTCCACTCAAGCTGGGCCCACCCCCAGCTGTCACAATCATGGATTGCACATATTCAGGAATCTCAGATCTACAACCTCTGTTCTGTCCTGACCTCTGTCAGTGCAACACGTTAGTCGACTCATCCACCATGTCACTTTCGGTTGGCCGCAACAAGTGGCACTAAAGTGGGTGTGACACTAGCGTTTGCTGGTGATATTCTACAAACTACATTAGTGCCAGTGAGTTGACAGTACGGCTACCACCAAATGTGACGGGCTACCACCAAATGTGACGAGCTACAATACTAAACCCGCGTCAATGAGTTAAGGTAGCATAACAAGAACAAGCTTATTTTTCAGCTAAACAATCCACAAAACAACTGAATAGAAAAAGGGTATAAATTTAACAGTTAAATAGATTTTTAATATTTTATTTCTTTAATTAGCATTACAAAACAGCGTGCACTATACAAACAAAATCCACTGGTATCAGTGATATGTTAAATTTGGCCCATTTTCAGTCAGAATATTAACATTTTTAATGACAACATTTCTATTTCATTGGTTCATTAACACTATCGGGTCTTAGAGATAAAAAATAAAACATTAACAATAAAATTGTGAGGAACCTAATGACTTTAGCATAGAGTGGCCTAGGCCACCGTTAGTGTATGACGCTAAAATCACAGAAATACTGCCAAGTTATACAACCAAGTACTTGTAAAATAAGAAGATTATGGCAGTCATGACTTAATATAGCTTTGGTTGACTAAATTTTATAACTAACAATTTTACTTAAAAACTGTGTAAATACTGAAAACATAGAAGATTATTTTGTGTAGAGGCACACACTGAACCTGAGAATTTAAATTTTTTAATATACAGCATACCGACTCCCTCTAGCAGGATGGCCATAGATCTCCAGGAAAAAATGTCAAAACCCAGGGTTTTCCAGTCACGATTCTAAGTCACCAAGTGTACCTTATACTAAAAGAATCTGGATCCCCGATATTTTGGGGTTGGGGAAAGTCAATAGTTGGCCCAAAGGATTGGTATGGGACAAAAATAATTATTATAGGACCAAGCTAGGGGATTCATGTCAAGCAGAGCGCTGTTTTCTGCAACCATGGAAAATGTTTGCAATGATGTACGATAAAAATTATATGATTTTGCTGCAATTGAGGGGGACAAGGACATCGCCTTGACTGCAGAAGGTATTTACAATTATTGACCAAGCAAGATATTCTTGATCTTGCCGTGACTGCAGTAGATGTTTACAATTTTTCTGTAACATCGGGAAAAGTTCACAATTTTGTCGTAACCAAAAGAAGTTTCCAATTTTGCCACAACCGCATACGATGTTCATGAATTTCCCCGTAACTCTTAAAGACGTTCTGAATCTCGTTGTGACTGCGCAATATTGTTCACAATTTTACCACAACCGCAGAAGATGTTCATGATTGCGCCATAATCGAGGACAAAAATCAGGTTTTCCCAGTGAGGTTTAAAACTTCCCACATTATTCTCGGTTTTCACTGGTACAAAAAATGTATGCACAACTGCCGGTTTCCCCAGTCCGTGACCACCCATTCTTGTTTGGATCTATTTGGATTAGACTTCAAAAACTAAATACCCCCGCCGCAGCAAACCTGCCGGATAAGCGAATTTCCATTTGCCTTGATTAATTTTTAATTAAAAACATTAGGTTTAATGAGTACCTAGGTTTTCTGCTACAAGGTAACTAATGAAGTGTATTTTTTTGTAAAATATTAATATCTAAGTATAAAATTAATAAATTTGCCAAGTTGGATCATAATATATCCATAAACAAGCAAACTACAACATTTTACAATATTCTCCATAAGAATAACATGGGAATTTAAAATTTTCTGAACTGTCTCCATTACCAATAACCGTACCAGAAAACTTTGATAAACTAAATTATTTGTTTTTAAGCTCTTTCAAAAGGTCTAGAAAGAAATTGGGAAATTTTGTGTTTTGAAGGTCAAAAATGAGAAAAACCATCTTTTTACCCCCATAAACCCCGTTCCCATGGTCCGATCATGCTGGTTCGCATATTCATTTAAGTTTATATCGTCTTAAACCCAAATTTCATCAAAATCGGACAAAAATTATTCGAGTTATCGCGTTGATGGACATATATATATATATATGTAATATGTATAAATATATATATATATATGTAATATGTATAAATATATATATATATATATATATATATACACATACTAGCAAAGCTCCCGTCCTTTGTACGGGGTTGGCATATAAGTATAAAATGCTTATTGCAGTTATACTCAAGCTTTGCGTTTGCAATGGGGGAGGACATAGTTTGATAAAATTTGGTTCTTTAAATTTACGGTGTAATATAGTATAACACATCTAGCATAGCCATAATGTTCAACCAATAGGAAAAAATAAATCATCAAACAATCGCACAATATCACAAATTATTCATTAAATTAAAAACATAAACATAACTGTAAACAATCCTCCTTTGACAGCTCTCATTGTGTATCACAGCTTTTTGTTGCTGCTTCGTTCAAATTAGCTGTTGTCATAATAAGCAAAAACAAAATAATAATAGTGCTGCACCCTGTTGAGAAACCTTATAACTTTTTATTGCTATTGCATATTATAGAACCAACTTTTAAAGTTGAAACAGCTTACTTAATTCTTTAATTCCTTTTAAATATGAATACTCATAAGGTTAACATGGGGAACTACAGAGCCACTGGGGCGGAGCCCGAAAGGATTTTTGAGATAAGAATAGGTCTATATGTTAATCGGGAATGTTAGCTATCATCATGCCAAATTTCAGCCCAATCCGTCCAGTAGTTATTGCGTGATTGAGCAACACACAAACTTTCAGATTTATAATATTAGTAAGATAAGATACATATATAAAAATTTGAACGAATGGTGTTTTTAGCCTCTGGGGACATCATAATGAAAAAGTAAATTGGTCCCGGGTCTAGATATTACAGTGCGACCTACGGTAATAGGATGCATGGATAAAATATATTCCCTTATTAGATTTGTCATCCTTATGGAACAGCTGAAGCCAATTTTATTGTTAGTTTTGTACGTCTAACTGTAGAGGACGTTTTTTGTAGACAATTTGTTTCTTATTATTTCAGTAATTTTAAACCTCATTTTACCAAATAAAACGATATAATCATAAACAATAACTGGTCTTCTAGTTATATAACCAAATAGTAAAGCACAAATCATGAAAATAACCCCAAAATAATAGAAACAAAATTTCGTCTAGCCCAGCGATCAGTGTGGACGTACATGAACTAGACACAAAAACAAGCTTCAAAATTTACAATGGGATGAGGAGTCTACTTGTGTTGCTTAGTCTATGGTAATAGCTACTTGGCTATAGGGAAATTCGCTAAAAAATGAAATTGAGCATTGAAGACAACATACAAAACAAATATAATTAGCAAAACATTAAGGCCCCCCATACACGTAACGATCGGCCGGCCGGCGAGGGCCGGAAGGCCAAACTGAACAGTTTGGCCTGTGAAAGTAGGGTCCCCATACACGCAACGATTCGCCTGCCGGCCCGACTGAAATTTCTCCGCCTAGTGGCAAGTGTGCAGTCAGTTTTCGTACGGCAAAAACGTTTTTGTTAACTTGCTATAAGCTGGATCTTTCAAGTCCCTGTTGTGGTATGCCTTTGTTTTGACCCTCCGTCGATATTCATGCTTTCTGTATTCTTCTATAAAGGCTAGCGCATGCTGATTAGTCCACGTAGCCATATTTGTACAAATACTGAACAAAAAATAAAGTTAGGTTATGTCAATGACCGTGCCTGACCTTAAAAATGAACGTAAATAAACAAAATAATGCTACTACTGTACTGTCGGCCTTCCGGCGGCCTGCCGGCGACCCCATACACGTAACGATCGGCCTGAAGGCGGGGATTGGCCGGACGACGACTGATGGGAATCCCATCAGTCGTCGTCCGGCCAATTTGGTCGCCCGGCGGCCGGACGACGACCCCATACACGTAACGATCGGCCGGCCGGCGTGGACTGTTCAGGCCGGGCCGGCCGGCCGATCGTTACGTGTATGGGGGGCCTAAGGACTATAAAATTTAATGGTAAATTTTTGTTTCATTACATATCTTATTCTGCACTACTTACATAGTGTGATTTAGGGAGAAAGTAATGTTTTTGTCTAAATTTACGAGTTTGAGTTTTTACCATTGACTATTGGATACTGAAGTAGACATCCCATCTATATGGAAGAATTTTATTAAAAAGAACATAGTTGTTTGAGCCAGTCACAGAATGCACTAAGTGTCTAAATTTCTATTTTATACCTTATTTTATTTTGGTTGCTGACCAGGTTGATGGGACAAGTCATTCTCTAAGTTTGACTTGGTAAAAATGTTTTGAGTATTTGACAGAATTTAGTTATTTAGATCAACACAATCTGTATGTGGCTCGCATCAACTACGACAATTTTGATAAAAAAAATCTGGCTACAATTTAACATGGGGATGGAATGTCTAGTTGTACTAATATAATAGTCAAAAGGTTTTAGGTATAAATATCCGTTCTAGTTTCCCCTGCCCCAAAAAAGTGGTTTTTGAAGTGGTGTCTGTAAATATATAAGTCTAACGGTTTTGATAAAAATTTTGTGTGTTACATTCCTTTTGACCTCGGACCAAATGTCACAACCTAAAAACACTAAAAGATAACCGTTTAAAAGTTAGTGGAATTTATATGATTTTCACCATAAAACCCATAGAAACTCCCTCTGGTTTACCCTGTAGCTTTTTGGCTAAAAATGTAGTAGGATGTTTAGTTATAATGTTGTCAAGCTAATTGGAGAAAGTATTTGTCAGTTTACTGATGCCATTTATTTATTTTAAAACTGGTGGCAGCTTTAAAGGGAATGGAATGTCTAATTCTCTCCTTAGTCGAAGGCTCTATTAAACTTTATTGCCATACATATTCTAAACACATCTTTGATTAAAAAAAACAAAACTTAATATTTTCCAGTCAAAAAGATAATATTACTTATTTTCTAAGTAGACACTTTAACATTCACATGTTTATACTGAGATACATTCAATGTATTTTACAATGCCTAGTTTGTTATATACTTTTCTCATAGGCACGTTTTTAAACTGGCAATTAAAATCTGAAGATACACAGTTAAAAAATTACATACTATTCCACTTATTCTATAAAATACAATATGTACAACTTGGGAGGTACTTGGAAGGCAAAGAACGTTTGACCAGAAGCAGCAAACCGTAGAATGTGACACTGCAACACAATATATTTATGTTATTTTTTTAATAATGGCAAACCTCATTTTGATTTGAGTTTGGATGCAAAGGCTAACAAAATACAGCTGTTTTCCAACCAGTACCGGTAGTGTTATTTCGACAAGTGTGATAAATTTACAGTACCTAGTATGATTCTTGAGGGTGGCAGACCGAGTCAGTCGCCAGTTTTTAAGCTGTGCTTGTGCACTAAACGTTTTTGCGTAATGCAATGTTCAACCTGTCTTTATATACAGAGTGTCGCAGACCACCCGCCCGGCTTCTATAGCCCCAATATGAAAGCAAATAGTAACCTAATTACAACTGGAACCCCTTATTTTGACCACAAGGAATTCAGCTAAATTATTTTTAACCCCAAAAAAGGACCCCAAAGGGCAGATTTTGGGTGTGGGGGTGGTTTTTGGGAAATTTTCAAATATAAAGGGGATCGTGTTATACCTTATTTTAAAGGTATTTGAGTACTGAGTATTTTAGTGGGGAAAGTTTTAAATTATTTTTATCCCTATATACAGGATGTTCAAAAACTTACAAAAAATAGAACTTTGTACTACATTTCACTGCAAAGAGGTGGAATTTCTTGGGAGTTTCAAATTTTGATAACACTTTAATTGCTAAATGAGCTTTAAAAAAAACTCTGGTTTCAACCCTTTACCTAACTTTTTACTTGTGTTATGCATTTTCAAACTTAAAGTTTCAAAAGATATTATCACAAAAAATTCAAATGGCAACATGGGTTTCATTACAAACCACATTGTAGCCCTTAAAATTAGCTACAATTTTTGCATTTAATGCTTTTTGGTATCTTTATTAGTTAAAGAGCTGTAGTGAAATTAGTGTATTTTAATGTTTTATTAAAATGGTATTCAAAGTGTTTGCTGTTGTAAATGTACATGTCTAGGAGCTATAGAAGCCGGTTGGTCTGGGACACCCATATGTCAAATTTTTATTTAACCACTGTAATACACAATGCAAATGGAAAAATTTCCTGTTAAATGTAAAAACAAGACTTTGATTTAGTGTACTACTTAGCACTCGACGATGGAGTGATCTCTGAAACAGCCATAGCTCACTCAGCCAGTATCACTCTGATTGCAAAGACAGTAACGATTAAATATATTTTCATAGCAGAAGCCTATTAGTCAGCCTGTTGGGAACTCAGTGAATAACTAAAAGCAATACTTTTTTAAATACTTTCTTTTCTTACTTTCTTATGAAATGGCAACCATACGAATGTAGATATTTTAAGCCAAGTATGAATGGAGATGAGTGGTGCGATCTTGTAGTCTTGTTAGTGACTAAGGTCGACATGTTCCTTAGATAATAGCATAGACTAACCAACACAAGTAGACTTCTCATCCCATTGTAAATTTTGAAGCACGTTTTTCGTGTCTAGTTCATGTACGTGACACAAAGGCGCTAGTGTCGACGAAACTTTGTTTCCATTATTTTAGGGTTAATTTCTTGATTTGTGCTTTACTGTTTGGTTATATAACTAGGGGACAAGTTATTGTTTATGATTAGATCGTTTTATTTGGTTAAACGAGGTTTTAAATGGCTGTAATAACGGGAAACAAATTGTAAACAAAACACGACCTCTACATAAACCGTACAGCACTAACAATAAAATTGTCTTCAGTTGTGCCATAAGGATGAGAAATCTACTAAGGGAGTATGTTTTATCTATGATAATAGCAAACGGATAAAAAAACTTGTACAACAGCATATGTCTATCCATCTCTTAAATAAAGAGATGGATAGAGGTCCATATATATAATATAAAAGCGGTGCTTTTATATATAATATAAAAGAGGTGCCATAAATATAAAAGCCCTCTTTTATATTTAAAAGAGGGCTTCAAAATCCTCAATGCCTCCAACCACACCATCAATTTTTTGAAAGATCCACCAAACATTGTTTTTAGACAATCACCCAATCTCCGAAAAATACTAGTCCACCCAAAAGTTCCTGACCCGGCCAACAACAACCCAAACAACGCACGCCCTAATGGTTCATATCCCTGTGATAACAAGAGATGTAAAACATGTGAAATAAATCAACCCAGCCAAACATTTTCCAGTTCCACAACCAAAGAAAACTACAACATCCGAGGCTTCAACACTTGTGAAACGAAGAACATTATCTACCAACTACAATGTAACAAATGTGAGGCACAGTATGTAGGCCTATCCACCAATAGCCTCAGAACCAGGATGAATGGCCATAGACAAGATGTATCTACTGGATACAAAGACAAACCAGTTGTACAACATGCCCAGAGCCACAACAACCCTAGTTTCAATGACTGCTTTACAACCAAAATAGTCAAATCACTACCTCCTCAATGTAACCAGTCACAACTTAGAAGATGGGAACTGTCCTACCAATGGTTTACTAAGTCTAGACAACCCCCAAACCTAAACCTTAGATAATACCTTTCATCTAACCCACTCCACTTCAAAATCCAACCCAACTAGCAGGCTTACATATTTATTCATATATATATAGTGCATATAAGATAAACTGAAAATGTGTTTTGAATTCTACTATTGGCAACACTGACTCAACAACTCACTGGCCACCATTTTGGACATCTAAAAAACTATCTCTTCCTTAGTTGAAAATGCTGTCAGTGACAGTGAAATATTCTAATATTTTGTGTATATAGTGTAAAGTTATGTTTTGTGTTTCCTGTGCCAGTTTGGACTCTTTCCCATTCAGGTAAGCCTGCTATCCTCTCAAAAAATCCTAAAACATCTCTTAAATAAATGTAAATTGTGACTTAAAACGTCAGACATGAGTTTTATAACAAATGACTATGTGGATTAAATATCCTGAGTGATTTAATACAGGTGTAACATTTGGAATACAAAAGCAATAAGGATTTTTTAAACTTCCTACCTACCTTGTACAGTTTACAGCAGGAGTGTTGGCCCAGGTTTCTTGCCGGGCCACGCTTCCTTAGCGTACTTCTTTTTCTTGGGCTCCGGAGCACCAGATGGGGCAGTCTGCTCAGCCAGGGGGGCAGGCTCCGTAGGCGGAGGAGCCACTGGGGTAGGCGGGGCCATTTCCACATCGGGGGCAGGGTTAGGCAATGCCAGCCCTAGCCTTGAGGCCAGGGCGGGGGAGAACATGAGAGAGGTTGGAGTGGTGGGAGTGTGACCCTCGGGACCTGCAAATATTGTGTGATAAATAACTTACCAACATGAGATTTACTAGTTAGAAAATCCCTATTTAGCTACGTTAGTGTTTAAGGTGATTTCTCAAAATAGGTTTATATAAATAACAAAAAAGTATTTTTTTTTCCTACTGTGCACAGTATGTAGGTATACTCTTCTTATTCTGCATAACAACTTCAATCAATGTTTCAAAGTTTTAAGTAAAGTTTGTGCTAGTTTGTAGTAGGCCTATTATTTATTCTTTACCTTTTTAGAAGTTATAAGAGGAGAGGGCTCTTTTAATTAACAGGTTTTTACTTAAACTGACAGGTAATCCAAATAGAGGCACGCCTGTATTCATTGACAGTTAAAAAATTACTTTTTCACCTAGGTATCTATTTAAAGGAAAAACAAAGGTTACATACTTGCATAAAGCAATATTAGCACTTCAAATTTGAGGTGTGCGAGTGGCTCAAATTTCTAGCCAAGCCCAATCTATCTTTAAGCTTGAGTGATCGTGCACCATATCGGAAAATTGAGCTGAGCCAAGCTTTTATTCAAGCAATTGCAGAAAACGTCTACAAAATCGTTCCAAGAAATCCAACATTTCTCTGCGATTGTGGGTTATGTTAACGATGTCACTGTGGTTGTAGAAGATAATCACAATATTATCAGATATTCACCATGCTAAAACACAGCTTGAGGTTTGAGTTTTTTTACCAAAAGCTTGACTCCATTGAAAATCTCTTGCTTGCACACCGCTATAAATCACAAACAGCAATTAGACCATTTAAAATATCTTACTACCCACTGCTGTACTCACCTGGCATGTCGTGATACAACTGACTCATGAAGGACGATGGATGCATGTGTTTCATGGCATGAGGCTTGTGATCCTCCGGTTGTGTCAGTCCACTGGTGATGCCTACTCCACTTTCCAGTCTTTGACGCTAAAACAACCAGCAACAATAAGCTTGTAAACATACATTAGGAAACAGGAAAATGTAGATAGGCCTACACAATTGATTTTCATGTAGTTGATATTTTTAAAACTGCTTTACATAAGAATACATTAATTAACAAAAATAAGATTTCTGTTTCAAGGCCAGCTTGAAACGTTTAATATTCCGACAAGTTTGAATTTTTTTTTTTTTTTTTTTTTTTACCATCGTGATGAAAAATGTCCGCAATAAACCTTTGAACCACATTAACTCACCATCACCAACAATGAACTTAAAATAAAGAAACTGAGCCTATTGCTAGTCAGGAAATGTTTACTGTAGGCTACAATACCTGCAAAAACCTTTTGACTTTTTAAATGTATAAGTATTTAGCAAATTTCCCATATGGGAACGAGGTATTACCGTATATCTCATGGTAAGACATAGAACCGGGACCTATTTACTTTTTGTTTTGATATCCCCAGAGGCCAAAAATACCATCCATTCAAATTCGTAGGTATATATTGAAAATTAACAATGTGATGGGAAGTCTACTTGTGTTGGTTAGACTATGCTAACACTAAAATGTAATACAATATTGTACTTAATTTGTACAACTATTATATAACTTAGAGCATAGTGTGATTTAGTAGTAAATTTTGGTGGCCCATAAACTGAATGTATCACAGTTGTTAAATCATCTGTCGCCCTCGCCTGCGACAGCGAAGTTATACATAGGTATCAATACCCAAAGGATAGTTACAGTCCCATTATGTAAATCTTTTTAATAGAAATGTCCCAAAACCGTTTGAATGTGTTGTAAATTAGTTTATTACCTTGGTTGGTATGACAGTGGTATGTATGAGATTCCTAAAACGCCCGACAGACGGGTCCACGTCTTCAGGATTGATTACTTCTTCTTCTTCATTAAATGTAACACCTCGCTTTTTCCTTTTCCGATTTCTCGGAGCTGCTTCACCATCCTCTCCAATTCCAAGCATTGATATTCTCCTATTGTGTGCTGTGTTGAATTCTGTCAGATTCTGTGTGGAATCAAGAATGATATGACAACAGTGCTTATTAATTTTTAGGCAAATTAATAAATTGAATTGTATTCCTCCACACCCATATATTTAATAACTAATTTATTATGAAACTTAGTCAAACAGTAAAATTATAGAATATTGAGTATCATATTACTTTTTTATTTTATTGATACAGCAATACAGTTGTGCAACTGACCCCACCAAACAAGAATCTTAGCTTACCAAAATTATATATTTACTAAGTCCCATCTGTATACTTAACTTAAGTTTCAAAAGAACCACTAGCAAGTACTGTCATCATATACCAGTTACCTACATTGCTGCAGGCAAATCTTTTACAATGCATTAAGCCAATTGATGAGTTATGTGATGCTATAGCTTACTACTGTCTACACCGCTGTAATGAAGTATTTTTTAGCGAATTTCCCTATAGGGAAGTAGCTATTACCGTAGGTCTCATGGTAAGACTTAGGCCCGGGACCGATTTACTTTTTCATTTTGGTGTCCCCAGAGGCCAAAAACACAATTCGTTCAATTTTTTATATATGTATATACATATATATATATAGATTTATATAATATACTAGCTGTAACCCGCGGGCTTTGCCCCGTTTAACTTCTTAATTTTCAAGATGATCTCGTTCGCATGGCTCAATCACGTCCTGGTTGAAGTTCGTTCGCTACGCTCACTCACCTTTAGGTTGGAGCTCGTTCGCTACGCTCACTCACCTTTAGGTTGGAGCTCGTTCGCTGCGCTCACTTGCCTTCAGGTTAGCTCGTTCGCTACGCTCACTTGCCTTCAGGTTAGCTCGTTCGCTACGCTCACTCACCTTTTTGGTTGCAAATTAGCTGTTGTCATAAATGTAAAAGAAATAATAGTGCTGCACCCTGTTGGTAATCCTTGTAACTTTAATGCTATTGAACATCATAGAACAGAACCAACTTGTTTAATTGAAACAGCTGTTAAGATTCATTAATTCCATTTCTCATAAGGTTAACATGGGAAACTCCAGAGCCACTGGGGCGGAGCCTATTGGACGGATCACGAAATTGATGGTGTATAAACCTATTCCATGACATTCTACACGTATGTACCAAGTTTCGTGGCAATCGGTTCAGCGGTGTCCGAGTTTATCACCCCCAAACAAACAAACAAACAAATATATATACAAACATCCTCTTTTATATAGATATATATGTGTCCGTGAACACGATAACTTGAGTAATTTTTATCCGATTTTGATGAAATTTGGTTTGAAGGTGTAAGACGGGATAAACTTGAATGAGTTCGCGATCCAGCATGATCGGATCATGGGAACAGGGTTTTATGGGGGGGTTTTATGGGGTAAAAAATGGTTTTTCTCACTTTTGACCCTCAATACACAAAATTTCCCAATTTTTCTCTAAACCTTCTTAAAGAGCTTTAAAAAACAAACAATTCGGTATATCAAAGTGTTTTTGTACAGTTATTGGTTACGGAGAAAACTAAAAAAATGGTAAATTTAAAATTCCCATGTTATTCTTATGGAGAATATTGTAAAATGTTGTAGTTTGCTTGTTTATGGATATATTTTGATCAAACTTGGCAAATATATTTATTTTATACTAAGCAATACTTATTATACTTAAAACACATACTTTATTAGTTTCCTTGTAGCAGCAAACCTAGGTACTCGTTAAACCTAATGTTATTTAAATAGATCAATTGAAAATCAATTCAGCCAAATGGAAATTCGCTTAGACGGCAGGTTTGCTGCGGCGGGGGTATTTTTATTAATAATTATTACAACAGCTGGGTAGCTCAGGGGTTATAGTGCTCGCATAGTACAGTAGACCCCCTCTTAACCGACCCTAACGGGACCGGACCTAGGTCGGATAACTCAAAACGTCGGTTAAAACGGGTAATACCTAAAAACACAATAAAATTAAGTGATATTCATTTAGTATTGTATAATCATTATTTTGAAGTAGTAGTTGCATTATTTATAAAATAAACTACACTAATCTCCTTTTTTCGTACAGTAATAAACAAAATAACACGGTTAAGTCAAATACTTTCAGTAGAATAAATTATAGTTGTAGGCAAGAATCAATAAAAACTGTTACATATTTTACTGTACTGTTATAACTTAAGTACGTTCTGTTAATTGATGCTTTCAAAATACAGTACAGTATATCGTAATACAGTACAGAGCTCTCTGCTCTTAGTTGAAATTAAAGATACAAGCTGTTTATTTATAGCCTCTCAATGGAAGCTCGAGTCACAAAAACAATCTTGACCTTGGACGAGGAGTCGTTAACCCTCCCCTGTTCCCGCCCCTACAAGTTGCATTGTTTGTTTGTTTACTCTAGCGATAAGATAATTCTGGAATATATTACAAAAAATAGCAGCTGTTTTCAGACACGTTACGTAACTAGTAAAATTATTTTGTTTACATACCAATTGTTCTTTGTACAGACGATCTCGCTGATTTGCTTTGGTTTGACACACTGAAGAGGATCCACCAGGAAACTTAATAAAAAACACCTTAAATGTTTCACACTCTATTACTGTATTGAATTGAAACACACACACTACTTTACAGTAATAAAAAAATACAATAAACGATTGATAAACTCCATTTTACTGTATTGAATTAAAACACACAAACTTAAAAGATGAAACAATATTTTCAATCATACAAATGATAAAAAAGAACAGTTTTAATCACTTAAGCTTACTTGAAAAAGTCAGTGATTTTTTTCTGTTTTTCATTGTCCAGTGTCTGCTTGAAGGCATAGTCTCGCCATTTTTTTATAAACATCACATCTGCAGCACTTGATACTTTTTGTTGTTCAATATAACTTGCAGCTAGAGTAAATGCCTTTCTTGCCTCGGAATGACTAATTTTGGATTCCTGATCTAAATCTTCGATTTCATCTTCTTCCTCCGCATTGTTATCTTGACGGGTGACTGCCGTAACGATTTCTTCGTCTGTCATCATATTGTTCCCCAGCTCGTCGTCAGCGTGAGCAATCCATTGTTGAACATCTTCTGCTTCTATAACGTAATCACCACCTGTCAATGTTTGAAGATCCTCCAATAATAATTGTTCACTTGGGTCGATCTCTTGTTGGCGAACTTCTGCTGATGGATTATCGTCCATGTTGTTTAGTACCGCTTCTTCTACTTCAGGCCACAGTTTTCTCCATGACTTTACGATTGTAGTGCTTTGAAGTTCTTCGTACGACTTAGCCACCATGTAAATCACTTCCTTTACATTGATTGTTTTTAAGACGTCAACAAGTCCTTTACTGTGAAATTCCATCCTGTTCAAAATTTCAGAAAGTAACTTCTTCTTGTATCGTCTCTTAAAACTCTCGATTACGCCTTGGTCCATTGGTTGGACAATGCTGGTAACGTTCGGAGGAAGAAAATAGCATTTTATTCCACTGTTTTCCTCGCTTTCGATGCCTTCTACATGACTGGTAGCATTGTCCAAAAGCAAAATTGCCTTTATTGGCATTTTCAGGCTAGTCAAATGTTTTTTCACGCTGGGAACAAACTCGTTGATAAACCAGTCCTTAAAAATATACTCGTCCATCCAAGCAGATCGCTGCGCTTTGTAACAAACTGGAAGAGCATTTACGTTTATGTTTTTGAAAGCTCTTGGCTTTTGATATTTGCCAATCACTAAGGGAGGTAGTTTGTGGGTTCCAGACGCATTAGAACATAGGGCAACTGTTACCCTCTCTTTGTTCATTTTGAAACCGGCAGCCGATTTTTCATTGCTGGCGGCGAATGTTTTATCCGGCAGACGTTTAAAATTCAATCCAGTTTCATCCATGTTATAAATTTGTTCTGGATGTAAACCCTCCTCCTCAATATACTCCTTGAATTTTGTAGAAAATTCACTAGCTCCAGTAGGATCCGCCGACAACTTTTCACCGCAAACAGATAAAAAGTGGACGCTATGTCTTTTTTTCCACCTGTCGAACCAGCCGTTACTGGCAGTGAAACTGCCGCCGTTTTCAATCTTAGAATGAAGCATGGTTGCTTTTTCCTTTAAAATCGGGCCACTTAATGGGGTTCCTTTACGCCTTTCTTGTGTGAACCACAACCACAACGCGTCATCTACGAGATCATTTGTTGGTTTTTTTAATGTACGCCGAGTCGCCAATGCCGTGCCAGATTCTATTTGAGTACAGAAATCTTGTAAAGATTTCCTGTTACGACGCCAGTCTTTGACAGTTGTTATTCCAACACCCAGCTCGTCACTAATTTGTTTCACACATGCACCTTTGTCAAGACGGTCCAATGCACTTAGTTTCTGTTCCACAGTAACAACGTTCCGTTTTCGTTTTACCGATGCCATTTTGTAGTTTGGAAATCCTAGTTTACTGTACTGTATTTGATAAAAACACTTAAATGTATTTTAAAACGACTATTTTTACATTTTAATTTAAACTGAAGCACGGTCCGATTAATATTAAATAAACTAAACCGCTAAACACACACTTCCACGCACTTTCCGATGTTACTGTATAACTTTCCGCACAGAGAAAAAATTAGACGTGCTCGCAAGACGAACGATGATGACAAACTGACAATACGCAATATTGTTTGGGATAGCTATAAAATACTTATTGTTAGTCACATCCTGTGGAGATAAGCGAATGTTCCCATAGCCCAGCGTGGGAGAGGAAATGCCGAAATTCCGAGAAAGCGGCGGTTAAACCGAGCTGCTCTCAAAGCAAGGTCGGTTAAAACAAACTGTAATATTTTACGATCAAGGGCGGATAATCCGATTATCGGTTAATGCGAGGTCGGTTAAGAGGGGGTCTACTGTAATCATAAGGTCAACGGTTTGATCCTAAGAAAAGTGAGTAACTTTTTGATGGTTCGATACTGAACCCAGCTGTCCTTGAACATTGGACTTTTAATAAATGGTCAGCTGACAAATGAAACAGCTGGTCTTAGTCAGTAACAAAGCCACATAAATAATCTCACTCCATTCTACACTTATCCTTCGTTCTTATTTTGGTTAAATTACGCACCTAGGTGGCGTTCCCATCTCAATAATTGATAATTGATAAATTGAGATTGAACAAATACTTTACAACAACAAACCAACCCGAGATATCATGCAAAAGAATCTTTTTGTAACATAACAAGTAGATGTATGAATTCGTTCTTGAGTTATTAACATCCATAACGATGCTTTTCGTACCAGTATCAACTACTGTACATCTAATGGTGGTATCACTTACATCCAACTCAGTTTCAGTCTCAGGCAGTCCCAGTAATCCACCTTCTGCGTCTTCTGACGACTTCTCCAACTCTTCTATGATTGGACGAGCTCCTGTCTGGGGCCTCTCCCGCAGTATGTAGTTGCGTGTCGACGCACCAAAGTGGAACACACTGTCTATAGGTAACTGCGTCGGCTTCTGTGCCTCGATTCTCAATGACCCAATGTAAGTACCATGAGCTAACATCAATAAATAAATGCCTCTTAGTTTTTTAAAACAAGTTCAAAGGAAATAATTCTTAACTTTTAGTACTTTTTTACTTAGTAGGCCTAGTCAGCTTTACAACTAGGCCTAATGAAAAAGATATATAAATAATTACAACTCTATGCTTAGGCCAACTTAATGCTATAGAAAGGTTTTTTTACAAGAACTACTCATGTATTTTAAAACCAGTGTTTCTCAAAGTTCATCAGGGAGTTGATTAATGAGATTTGCTCTGCACGATACGTGTGCAATATTCGATTTTAAAGTAAATTAACGCCGCCACTACTTTACAGAGCGCCGCTGTAGTTCAGGTTGGATTATGAAACTCATGGAAAAGGATAGTTAAAAATTCAAATTGACGTTATTGTAGATTTGTCTCTTAAATAAATCACACAATATAATAACTTTTGTTTTTATATAGGTATGTTACAAAGCCACACTAAAGTTAAACTAACCACCGCAGCGCAGTGTAAAAAAGTCATATTGAAAAACATACAACTAGTATTTAAATCACAAGAAAACTATATTCTAATAACTATATTCTATAAGTATCAATTCAATACTTATATTTCATCCGATAATATATCGTAGGTCTCTGAGAAGCTGTACCCGACTTTTTTTTAATGTTTATAAACTGTATGTATAGTGTTTGTATGTTTGTTTTCTCTCAAAATAATGCTTATGAAACCTAATCTATCCCAAATTTGATTTCATAAGATATGGAGAAGTCTGAAGACTTCAGTACAGGGAGGAAATGGGAGGATAGAACAGGCCGCAGGGACTCACGATATAAGTACTTGTTTATTTTAAAACTCATGTCTAGAGTGTTATCCAGATATTCTACTTGGACAGGAGAAAGACATCAGACCATTTGTGGTTATGTTGGTGTACGGCAATTTTCATAAAGTAAAAAATGGTGATTTTACTGATTTTCATCATTCAATGAAAAGATTAAGCTCAGTTTTTAAGCCACAGGCCTCAAAGCTACTTTATTAGGCCAAGAAAAAGCCGGGAATACAGTAAAAAAAATTTGTAATAAGAGAAGGTATTAGAATACAAGAGTCCTTACTGCTTCCTAGATCCACAAGGAATGCCCGATGCAGATGTTTATGGTAAACAAAAGCTGCATGAACCCTTGAACAGCTCTGGTGATCAATGCAGAAGTCATTCATCTGAGGATTCCTACCGAAAAGATAGCACTTCTTCTGGTCCAGCATCAATTTCTAGAACAAACAGATAAAATGTATTTTAGATTATTTGAATCATCTATAATATTAAAACGAAACAGTGTTTTTTTATTTCACGATTCTGAATCAACCACTCGACGGATTTTCATGATTTTTGTGTTGAAAGAAAGATAATTTTGAGAATTAGGGAATGTCAAAGCCATAATTTTAGTTTAGGGTCCCAGTTTTTAGAAATTAAGTTTTAATTTTTAAAAAGTCTAGCAGCCGACGCTAAGATTCGAAACTAGCTTTTAGCATAAAATAATTTGCTTAACATAACAGCTGTAAACATTCAGCTTTTGTGTCACAAATTCAGCATTTGGATAAAAATGTAAAGACATACTTAGGGTTGACTTATTTATACTATGTTTAATGCTAATCATTGATACGTTCAATTCTTCTGTAAGAGGATGACAGATTAATTAAATATACATAGTAAAATACTAGGATGTTCAAATTATTTTTTAAGTAATCTTTGTAATCTTAGGTTTGTTTTAGTGCAATATAATTTGTTTTAACTAGCAGCTGGTTAAATATAAAAATGCTCTATAGAAATATTAGGTTATTTTATTTACTCTGATTTTGTCATTGATTATAGGAAATAAGTAAGATTAGTAGACCACCGAGATAAGTAACACTATCGATGTATACAAGTCCATGTCGGGGCTCTGTACACGAGTCTTAAAAAAAGGATATGCAAATTATTTTACTGCTCAATTGTTTTAGGAAAGGGTAGGAAAATCACAATTTTTACATGTTTTAATTCATCTTGGTGGCGTTTTGTTTACAATCAATGTTTTGAATGCTTAAACTTTGTTTGGATTAGGCCCGGAAATAATGATGTCATAAAGAAGGAGATCAAGAATCCTCAGGAATAGGCCTACGATTTTAAATTACCACCACAACCTCAGACGGGTGTTATCCAAAGCTATACAGATGAATGACATAGATTGAACACAACGTCATAATTGACCTAGGATACTGCAATTAGACTAACCATCCTTTTATGAAATCTAAAAAGTTGTTTGGCATGTGTTTAGTTGTGGTTACGTTTGGAGGCGCTGACTATTTTATAGTTTAAATAAATGAATATGGGGAATTACGATGTACATTGATTCAATGAGGGTGGTTTAATTATCAAGGATATTAGAACTGACAACGGAATGGATAATAAACATAGAATTAATTACGTCACTAGCTTTACTAGCGTGTTTACGTTTTAAAATTCCTTCACCATGTGACCAGTTATTTTTTTCAAATGAATACTATTTTATTTTTGACTCAGCTGTTTACAAAACAAACTATATGTTGTTTTTTTACTTTTCTTTGTTTACACTTATTTATTTAGCAATTGATGCAGTGAAATGTGTATATAAAAGGATGTGTGTGGACGATTCGTTTAATGATGTCAGGACACCAACGTTATAATTATGTGTACTGTGAATTTTATTGGATGTTTTCCTTTTATTTTAGCGAGTTTCTATTCAGACCTACTGGAAATAGTATATAGTGTGAGTAATTGTTTTGTGGTGACATTGATTATGGAAGAGGCAGGTATACGATGGAATTGGAAGGTGATATCGTTGACTAGGCCTATACACTTCTCAATTGATAATTACTTTTTCTACTGTAGGCTGCAATAAAATTTGTCTTTATACCTGTAAGCTAGCTATTCTGAATTATAAAAAGTTTTAACTGACTTCTCCCGTACGTAGGACGGGCTAACACCTCGTGGTTATTAAGTCTAAAATGAAAAATTCTAAAATTAGAGGTGGCTGACAAATTAAATTATAATATAAGAGGGAAAATCGAGGATTTTTATAGAAAGAAGTTTTTGAAACAACAGGGTTTAACAAAATAGAGGAACTGAAATAAAATTACAATAAGACAACTGAACAGAGGGGGCGGGGGGTGTAAAATTGTTTAAAGAACACAGTTTAAATGGTATGAAAACACTTTGACTAATGTTCTTGAATGAGGATCAGATAGTCTGTAAATTTGAGGAGCTGGTGTGTTGGAGAAAAACAGGGTCTATACATTGAGGTTTTCTTTCTCGAGGTTCCATTTGAAACATCCCTGTTGAGGGGTCTTCAAGTATTCTTGGTTCAAATGGCAGCATAAGCTTTGGGTGAAGTCTTGAGGTAAATTTTCAATAAGAGGTGAGGTCTTTATTGGGTCAGGAACAGATGTCGAAGAAGAGTCGGCAATATGACCAGGAGTTAAAGCTGTCAGTTTCGAAGGTTTTGAGTTTGCTTCTTTTTGTTCCAGTTTAGCTACAAACGTTTGTCTTCTGTGGTTTAGGGAAAGTAGTTGATAAAACTAGAGGGTCAGCTTTAAATATATATGTATGTATATACAATGCACATTAATTTATTGTCTTGTATCAACTATAAAAGACAATAAAACTGTAAAAGGTTATTTAAAAAAATACTCAGTGTCACAGAGCTAGCCTACAGAAATGGATTTTATTACCTTTCTTTATTTGATATTAAAAACGACATTGCTATAACTTTTAACCATAGAGATAAGTTACTTGTTTTATGAATAACACAATACAATGTCAAGAAATCGTCCTTTGCCATTATAGATAGGGCAAATTGTGCTTCAACAAACTTTGGTACACAAAACAGTATTTAGCAACTTATCCTGAAATCATATTTTTTATTTAAACATGTTGAAAATTGTGAAGTAAAAATAAAATGTAGGCCTACTTGGCTATGTAACAAGCGGGCTTAAGTAGGCGTGTTTTTACAAGCACTAAAGCACGGGTCACACTAGGCTGTTCGCCAGCCGCTGGTGATCAGCAGCTGGAACCAGCATCACCAGCTCACCAATCCAGGCTGAGTCAGCTCAGTGTCAGCTGCGAATTTTGTGGTCACATTAAGCTGACAGTCGCGGCTTCTTTCAATTCGCCGCTGATGCCAGCCTAGTGTGACCCGTGCTTAACAGATATATTCCTATTAATTAAACTTAGTAGGTAGGCTACTATTAGTCTTAATCCAATAGCATAGCCTAGGAATTAGTCCTAGGTTCGAGCTGTTAGCAGGAGCAAACTAGGCTATTTTTTCAATGCATGTTTTATGTTATTTGGAGATATTTTGGTTATACTTATATTACTATGTAGTCTAGGCATGTCTTAAATTTCATCAAGGTAATTCCCTCTTTGTTTACATTAGTAAACATTTAAAATCTTCTTAATCCAACAAAGGAAGGGCGTGTGATGATGAATCACAATCAACAGCTGAAGCAAAGGTTGATAGACCAGTTTTCTCATTGTTTTAAGGTTTTGTGTTTCCCTTAAAACCCAAGTTGAAACTATTGATAAAATAAAGAGACTAAATTGATTACTAATTTCCCTGTCAATCACTTACAAGCTTTCAATAGCTATCTCTTGTCGCCGTCGTCAGCCGTCTGTGTCTAGTGATTTTTATTTTATCTGACCAGTAACCATAGATTGGCAAATGAATGAAATGAGAGCCAAACATGTGGATTACACACAGCCAGATAAGGCCAGAAACAGCCCTTATCCGCCCCTAACCACCTTACCTTAGGGCCTCCATGTCCATGCAACGCTGTAGTAGCTAATAAAACAAAACTGTTGCGACCAGCTGTATGAAGCCAATAAAGTAGTTGGGCCTATTTTTCTTGAAAATATCAGTCTGAAAGAGGTTGTATCACATAACGTTTTGATAAAAATCACTATCTCAACCAATGTAAATGTAGCAAGAAAAGTAGCTAAAATTCCGCTACAACTACTTAAAAATTGTAGCTCGCTATAGCTAAAGCTACAAAATCTGAAAACGCTGCAAAACAAGTAGCGCGCTACTGTAGTGTCGCTACTTGTAGTGCGCTACTTCCCACCACTGGTTATTCATTGGCACAGAAGTACAGTATGATGACCGATGAGACGAAGAAAAAAATAGAAACTACACAGCTTGAGGGTGGAACTCCCTTTGAAGCAAGAACGTGCCGTCTCAACAAACAGATATTTTTCCTCAAAAAAAGCATAGATTTAATCTGAATTACACTGATGAAATCGCGGAAATGTTTACCACAAAAGATCCACCAATATGATATTAATACTATTTAAAGGTTCTTCCAAGAGAAGAGAAACCAGTTAACATAGTAATAATAACTACAATTTTCAGGGAGACTTAAGTTGTAAGAAAAGCAATCTGAAATGGGTGACAAATGTAGTCCAAGAATGGAGAATTGAGGGTGATTGGCGGCTTCCAAGAAGACTGGTCTTTATTGATGATCCTGAGGCAAATCTTGGAGTAGTTCTGGGTAATTCAATGTCCATTTTTTTAACTCGAAACCACCGTACGTGCGAGAAGTTCAAACTGCTCATCTCTTAGTTCTTTAGCTTCGCTGAGTGTAAGAGCTCCACAGATGACGTCATCGAATCAGGTATGATCCTGTAAAACTTTAACTGCTGCTGGGAAAGAACCTCCTTTGTCGTCAGCAAGTTAATGTAACGTCCAGATGGCATGTAAACCACAATTTTTTTCCTCGCCAGAGGCATTTCACAAAAGAGGTCACGAGAGATTAAATGTTTAGTGGATGTGCCGGGAATTGAACCCGTCCCCCCCGCACAGAAGTCCGAGATGCTAGCCACCAGGCTACCAACACACCACTGATACTTCTGGTTGTCAGGATAAACTTAAATGCAACAATAAATTTTCCCTGTATCACAACTGAACAGGGCCGGTTTAACCCATACGCAAACTAAGCAGTCGCATATGGCGCCAACTGGACACAATTTTTTTTCAGAAGACAAAATTGGAAACAACTTTACTGACGTAAGTGAACAACTTAATTTTGTTTTTTTTTTCGATCAGAGTTCAAGTATCCAAAGCACCACACCAAAGGCATTTATTCTGCTTAACAGCACTAGAATACTTGTACAGCACTTCAACTCAAGGAATCAAGGCATTGATTTGCAGTTTCGATTTGTAGTGAGCTGACGCTCGGCAGCGTACAGCGCGGCGCCTGTGGGTTTAATTTCATGACTTGACTCATGCTCGAGATAAGTGCGCAGCCCCGCAGCGCCACTTGTCACAACAAGAAACTTCCCCCTCCCTTCTTCCCCTGATCACTCTCCCCTCCTAGAGCAGATCAAAGCTAGGAGAGTTAATTTTTAACTGGGTTATTCCTCTCTTGTCATCTACCTACACGTGTTTTTCATTGTAATAGGCTTTATAAAAACTTATATCGTATCCAAGTTATCCTGTAAAAATTGATTTCACATTTAGAAATAAATTGTTACAGTAACTTTGCGTTTTGCTAAAGTGTATATGATGAGTAAAAGTGTAAAAATGTTAAATTTCTATGAATAATAAACAGTACCGTAGTAAAATAAGTCTTTTATTGCAAGTAAGTATTCTTCTAACCTAAAATTTCTTCCCAAGAATTTTGCAAATAGGGTTAAGATATGTTCATGGTAAAGGGGGGGGGGAATTCTAGGTGGCGCTGATTCGGGTGTTCGCTTAACTCTGAAAAATTCCTAGAACCGGCCCTGCAACTGAACACATAATTATGGGAACAAAAATTCAGTCGTCTATTACCCTTCCAGAGTATTGTGTAGCTCGTCTGTAGTTTATAGCTGGACAAATGGCATGAGGTGGGAGAAGAGTTATACCTACAATGTTGGTGCATTGCTCATTAAATTACTGTACCTAACACAAATCCAAATTGTGTTTTAATGACAAATGGAAGGTTGTGAGAAGTTCTGGAAACAAAGCTCCTCATGTGAGAACATAAATATTCTGAGGTAACTTATACGAAAGAGGCCAGATCTGCCAGAACAAAAGGCTTTAACTGAAATATTCGTAAACCTCAAAAAAGAGTCAATGGAGCATTAATTCTATCTAGATTGTCAAAAGGTTGACTTAGCTCAAATTAATGATTTTGCTGCCAAGCGTGGATAGCATGAATAGGTACTTACTGAACACTGACCTAACATAGCCCTACCGCCACAGCATAATGTAAAAAAAAGAGCACGGTAAGTTAAAATAACTTGAAAAACATACAAATTAATATTTCGCATGAAAACTATAGGCCTAACCTAAGTTTATGTAATAAAATTTTGTAGTTTCGCTGTGGAACTGTAGGCTAGTTAGGCTACCCAGACATTTTTTTATGGCCTTATCATTGATATTACTATAGAGGCCTACTGCAAGTCCTACTAGGCCTAAGTTTAAAATTGGGAAGGAAGGTTGGCTGGATTAGGAGTTAGCAAATCCGTTAGGTAAAAAGAGCACACGTTTAGGGCCTACCTGTATTAGTTTGTCTCCCTTCATCACATCCAAATGGAGACCAACTGGTGGTTTCCCAGCCCTGTGAATAAACAATTGTATTACAATTTGTTTTGATTCTGTTTGGACAAAGTGACGGCAAAGCTATTTTTAATCCATTGCTTGATGAACATAACATTAATTATATTTTATTTGATAACAATACAAATATGTTACTGTACGTCCCTTAAATAGGCATAAGTTTAACCTTAACTTACCAGTTCGGGATATCATAATGGTTAGCCATTAGGCTTAGGCTACTTTTCTTAGGACTATTTGTGACAAACACTAGCAATTCAAATATATAAATAAACTGTAGGCCTACACAGATCACAGATCACTATGCCGCACCATATTCACCCAACAACATAGACTACGACGACTCCGGCCACGGCCAGGCCACTACACTCACTACACAACGGCACGTCTCGGGTCTCGGCTACATATTTTTTTTGCCCCAACAAACAAACGAACGACAACACAGAACCCGAGAACCGACAGAACCAGAACCAATTGAACCATGCAAGAGTACTGTTCTGTTGTGTTGTTGTTGTTGTTGCTGTTCTGCCTGCACTCGCTCGATTCCACTCCACTCCGGCTCGTGCACGTCAGCTTCTGGATACGACCGTCTCGCCGCAGTAATAAATCCTACTCATTTTTAACTGCAACTGTTACATTTGCGTTAAATGTCGCCCTGTGGAAAACAGATTGGATGGAACCGAAAGCAGGAAACCCACTATAGTTCGGCCGCTTAGAAAACGACCTGCGTGCTAATGCTAAACCAATGCTGGAGGAGGTCGCTTTCTAAGCGGCCGAACTATAGTCCGACACGACACCTTCCGTCAAATCTCTTACACCTTCCGACGCCTTCCGCAATTTTAAGACATTTTAACCCATTGGTCCGACGGGCTCCGACAGTAGGCCTCCGACGAGAAATACACCACCACCCCAACAATGCCAGTTGCCATGGAACATGTGATCACATACTGTTCACAAGCAGTAGATAGGGAGACAAGAGCAAATAATAATAAAAAAAGTCCATAACATTTATGACGATCTCTGTTAGTATGTGAGATTACAATAGGCTAGGCATATTAGGAATATAAAAGGCAGTTAGCGGAAAGTTTAGGTACAGTCCTAATCATCACTTTTCTTTATGTTTTTTGGGTCGCTGAACACGAATATGAGGTTTGCTGACAGATATTTTGCCCGGAACATTGGTTATTTTGTGAAAAACCTTAAAATTTGTGCACTTTTTTTGGTTTTTCAGGCAAATTTCCTATATAACGTTTGTTTCTACGACGAACCGTTTCGCCACTAGATCACACTAAAAAAGGCCAGAAGTACAAAGAATTAAAAACACTGCTAAATGCTGCCGTTTTACATTAGGTTTCCATCGAAACAACCCATGTTACGATAATTTTTACTATTTATTCATGATAACAAACTGAAACACACTTAAAATACCCCCGCCACAGCAAACCTGCAGACTAAGTGAATTTCCATTTTTTTGATTGGATTTACACTAAAATGTCTCCTTAGAAATATCACATTTATTCCCTATTTAAATAAAAGTTTAACGAGTACTTAGGTTTGCTGCAACAGGGAGGGTAAAAAGGTGTTTTTTGTAAAATGTAATAATTTAGTATGAAATGAATACATTTTCCAAATTTGATCAAAATATGTTCATAAACAAGCAAACTACAACAGTTTACTTAGTCTCCATAAAAATAACATGAGCATTTTAAATTTACAGATTTTTGGAATTTTCTCCGTAACCATTAGGCGAATAACAACGCTTTAATTTACTAAATTATTTGTTTTTTTTAGCTCTACAAAATGGTATGGAAAGAAATCGCTAAATTTTAAGTTTATTGGGTAAAAGAAATAGGAAAACCCAATTTTTACCCCATAAAACCCCCATAAATCTCTGTTCCCATAGTCCGATCATGCTGGGCAAAACCAAAAATGAAAATAAACCCTAACCGTTTTACAAAGGTTTTACATTGGGTTTCCATGGAAACAACCCCTGTTACGATAATTAGAACTATTTATTCATGATAATGAACTGAAACACACTTGATAAATCTATGCCAAGATGTATGACTGACTGCTGGAACATTTTCCGTTCCCACAAAACCCCCATTTATTTTCTCAGCACAGGGATGTTGCTGGCCACAGGTTTGCTGCTATAGTGATTGAGAAAAAGGGATGAAATACATTAAAAGAGTTGTAGATAACTTTTAACTTTGGTAACGTCAAATTCAGACGAGCAGACCGTGTCCAGCCACTTGCCATAGTGAATAACGCGATGAAAGTAGAGAATTCTTACCCGTATACCCCAACACATTGTTTCAACGTACCAGCATCGCTAAGAATTCTGATGAAGAACTAAAACACTTCTTGTCCTACGAACTGGGTCCATACTCTTTCTCGTTGTTTGATAATAAAGGTTTGCACAAAGAACCAAATCAAATCTTTAAAGGCATAAAGCCCCTGTCCCCATTGAAAACAAGCACTTCCATGGTCAAGTGCAGTATGTTATTGATGATGGGTTCCTACTACACAAAAGTTATGACCAGAGCATCAACCTTTCAACCATAAAAAACCAAGCATCAACCAAGAAAAAATTAATCGACAACATACTCACCACTCCTTGCCTTGCTATAAAGAAGAAAACTGTAGGCAGCTGAGAATATTCAAAGATAAACTTGGTCCTCAGTTTCTTACCCTTGAGGAAGCCTTAGAAGCAAATGAGGATGTGGAAGAAGATGTTTTTTCTCTCATCTTGGGCCCATAAGAAAATGGATGGAATGCCAACCTTCAACCCGAAGAGAGTGAATTACATGATCCTACCAACCAACCTATTCATGAGGTTATTAACATTATAAAAATAAAGATTGTCTCCCTTTTCCACAATTTAATCCTAAAAGACGGGTATTTTTTCAGGTTGAGTTTTGTGGTCAGAAGACACACTAGTTAGTTTATTAGTGAATTTCCCCTATAGGGAATAAGCTATTACCGTATTACTCATGGTAAGACCTGGACCCGGGACCGATTTACTTTTTCGTTTTGAGGCCCCTAGAGACCAAAAACACCATCCGTTCAAATTCATATATGTGTCCGTTAGGGCGAGAACTCGACAAAAATCATCCGATTTTGATGAAAATTGGGACAAACCTGTAAACCTACGTCTATTCGAACGAGTTCGCGAACCAGCATGATCGGACCATGGGAACAGGGATTTATTGGGGGGGTTTATGGGGTAAAAATTGGTTTTTCCTATTTTTGTCCCAATAAACTTAAAATTTAGCGATTTCTTTCCATACCATTTTGTAGAGCTAAAAAAAACAAATAATTTAGTATATTAAAGCGTTGTTATGCGCTAAGGTTACGGAGAAAATTCCAAAAATCTGTAAATTTAAAATGCCCATGTTATTCTTATCAAATTTGGAAAATGCATTCATTTCATACCAACTATTACATTTTACAAAAAAACACCTTTTTACCCTCCCTGTTGCAGCAAACCTAAGTACTCGTTAAACTTTTATTTAAATAGGGAATAAATGTGATATTTCTAAGGAGACATTTTAGTGTAAATCCAATCAGGGAAATGGAAATTCGCTTAGTCTGCAGGTTTGCTGTGGCGGGGGTATTTTTAAGTGTGTTTCAGTTTGTTATCATGAATAAATAGTAAAAATTATCGTAACATGGGTTGTTTCGATGGAAACCTAATGTAAAACGGCAGCTCTGTCTCTGTAAAACATTTTTACGGCCCACTTCTGTTCAAATGAGGGAGTTGTAACTTAGGTTGGTCGAACAGATTAAACTTAATTTGGAGACAGAGCAGCATTTAGCAATGTTTTTAATTTTTTGTACTTCTGGCCTTTTTTAGTGTGATCTAGTGGCGAAACGGTTCGTCGTAGAAACAAACGTTATATAGGAAACTTGTAGTAAATTTTGTCATCTTTAATTTTACAAAGCAGGATTTTCTCAAAAACCCATACTTACCGAGATTTGCCCGAAAAACAAAAAAAAGTGCCCAAATTTTAAGGTTTTTCACAAAATAACCAATGTTCCGGGCAAAATATCTGTCAGCAAACCTCATATTCGTGTTCAGCGACCCAAAAAACATAAAGAAAAGTGATGATTAGGACTGTACCTAAACTTTCTGCTAACTTTCCTAATATGCCTAGACTACAATGGTCAAGGACCTTCCTAGACCCACCTTGATCATTCCGGTTACTTTACTACAGGGATATTAGCAATAAGTACAATACAAAACATGAACAATAATACCCCCACCGCAGCAATTCTGCTGTCAAAGCGAATTTATATTTGCCTGAATTGAAAAATGTACCTATTTAATTAATATTAGGTTTTATGAGTACCTAGGCTTGCTTTTGACAGGGAGGGTAAAAAAGAGTGAGTTTAGTAAAAAATAATAACTTAGTATAAAATAAATTAATTTACCAAGTTTGATCAAAAATATATCCATCAGAAAGCAAACTACAATATTCTCCACAAGAACAACATGGGAATTTTAAAATAACATTATTTTGAATTTTCTCCGTAACCAATAATTGTACAAAATCATTACACACAAAGCTAGACAGTGATTAAATCTAGGTCTGGTGCACGCATAGTTGAGAAATGACGGATCCGACATCCGACAAGAATGCCCCAGAGAGCAATGTTGTCGTGACGTGTCGGATCGGAAGGTGTCGTGTCTGACAAGTGGGTTACAGCCCATTTAACACGTTCGCTACTGAGCGTCGCATATATGCGACGCCGCGGTCATTGCCACAGACCGAGGTATACATTTGAATCTTACACACAGACCGGCTGTCACTTGGATAACAGTACACACAGACCACGGGCGAAAACCTGTAAAACAGTGATCATTTACATTGTAATACGCTACAATCGTGTTTGTATATAAATTATTCTTGTTTTTTGTATTTTTTATAACCTTTAGTAATGTCGCATATTTGCGACGCCCGGTCTACAGCGAAGACAATAGTGAAAATTATCATAGTTTTCTTGAAATAGACTAAGCGTCGCATATATGCGACGGTTCATTTTTTTGTGTTTTAAGGTGATAGTAAGTAAAAAAATAAACAGATTATTCAAGAACAGTTTATAACTGAACACATATAAAAGCTACATAGGATAATGCAGCATACGTACTGCATACATACATACAGTGATGCAGAAAAGTAAAAGCCAGTTTTTCCAACTATTATATGACGTCACCAATCATCATATCCACAGACCAAGCGACGCAGTTGTGCGTCAGACATCTCTGTAGACCACTGCAGGGAATTCAGTGCCTTCAAATAGACCACTACAAAGATATAAGCATTTTAATAAC